TGGGGTGGGGTGGAAGGCGGAGAAACCAGGAAAGGTGGGGAGCTACAGACCTAGCTGCTCCCCTCCCCCTAGAGTTCAGCCACATGGTTCTCAGAACTTGAGAGAGCAGCCCCTTTCTACTAGTAATATACACGTTAAAAGCTCTTACCTGGGAGAGTTTTATCCCCCCCCCACTATATATAAAAAACTGTTTTGGGGAAAGACTCTGTGCCGGATCAATGGCACACGCACTTTCTGAGCAGCACTTCAAAACGTATGAACAAGTGGAAAATTGGGTCTCTGAATAGTTTGTCTCAAAACAAGAAAAGTTCTATTGGGACGGTATCCACAAATTACATGGGGAAAATGTGTAGCTAGGGATGGACATTACTTTGAATAAAGCACTTTTGATGTTTCTCTTGAAATTACCGTATTTTCTTTGATTACAAAATCCGTATTAACCGGTTAATAATGCGGATTGGCTATTAACTGGTTAATATTGCCAATAGAACTTTTCTTGTTTTGAGGCAAACCATCCAGAGACCCAATTTTCCACTTCTTCGTACGTTTTGAAGTGCTGCTCAGAAAGTGCGTGTGCCATCGATCGGAACAAGTGGTCATCTGAAGGAGCAATACAACAAAACAGCATACATATCAAATCGCATACATATCAACATATGTGTAACTCCATCTATTGGAAAAAATCCACATTATTAACCGGGACACCTAGTACTCCTGCCAAGGGCCAAAGACAGGCCCAGCTGGCTGCCTGTGAGGATCAAGGCAGGGCAGCACCGCCCCAGCCCAGCCCTGAGCTGAGGGGTGTCCACAAAAATAGGAAGTGAAGCCCACGTGGAGCCAGCATTGGGGGGCATGAGGCCCCACTGAGCCTCTCTCACAGGCCCAGGACTGAGCTGGGCCTTCAGTGGGAGGAAGCAACACAGCCCCAGAGGCAGCCCCAAAGCCTGGCTTGGAGGCTCAGGCAGCTCAGGGGTCTGTCTGCTAGACGTCCCCCAGGCGTGGGCTGGTGGCCTGTCACCACCACTCTGGGCTTTCCTAGGGCTCCTGTGAGGAGGACTGGGGCTGCCCTGAGATTCAGGCAGGGGATGAGGGGGCTGATGGAGTCTGGCATAAAGACCCATGGACAAAGCAACTTGTTTGGCTTCAGGCTGAGCCGGGGCCCAGGGCCTGTGCTCCCTCAGCGGCTGCCCTGGCGGTGGCCCTGACAGCTCCCAGCCCTTTCTGGCCTTGGGTACCCTGGGAACATATGTGAGGGGCAGGAAATGAGGGGGACTCTAGAAAGTGCCTGGACAGGGCTGGAGTCTGTCTTGGGGTGCTGGAGAGGCAGGGGCATTTTGGTCACACCCTCAGAGCTCCCTTTCCTCAGGCAACCAGCATAGGCTTAGGCCCTGCCACCAGCTCTAGCTTGAAGGGCCAAGGCGCTGTGTGGCGTGAGCCTGGGAAGGGAGGCAGGAAGGAAGGCCCAGCCCACCAGGTCTTTGTGAGTGGACTTCCTGAGGAGTGTCCCTCCTGCCTCCTGGCCTCCCGCCCCTGCACACACACACACACACACACACACACACACACACACACACAGAATTCTGTGCACATAGACCTACTTGCAGATATACACAGTCTCACACAAGGCCCTGTGCACAGAGATCTGCCCACAGCAAACAGATAGACAGATAGACAGACAGACACACACACACACACACACACACACACACACACAGAATTATGTGCACAACGACCTACTTGCAGATATACACAGTCTCACACAAGGCCCTGTGCACAGAGATCTGCCCACAGCAAACAGATAGATAGATAGACAGACAGAAACACACACACACACATGCGCACAGGGTCCCATGAACAGATATGTTCTGTGTGCACACAGGAGTGAAGCGTGCACAAACACATACACTTACGTACACAGTCCTGTGCGCACACACATACACTCTCAGGAACTTCTGGGAGAGGCACCCCTATCCGGACAAGGGCAAGTGGAGGGTGGGTGGGGGCAGAGGTGAGGGATTCTTACCAATGTACAGCCCCTGCAGGCCCACCTCCGGGACAGCCAGCATCTTTGCAGGCCCTGAGGCTGTGAACAGGAACAGACATGCAAATGACATTTATTTGTTCCTTTGTTCCCTCATGGAATGCTTACTTGTTTTATTTATTTATTTTTGGCTGGAGTCTTTTGAAGCAAATACCAGACACCATGTTGTTTCACCTATAAATTCTTCAATATGTCTCTCCAACAGATAGACTTTTAAAAACATTGCCACAGCACCATTATCATGTGTAACAAAATTAATTCCTTAATCTCATCTAATGCTCAGTCCACCGCCCCAGCTTTTCTCAAAAAGGTCTTTTTTTAACAGTTGCTTTGTTGGAATCAGGATGGTCCTAAATGTTTTTGGTGCCCAGTCTGTGCCAGGTGCTGGGGGACATCAGAGACAGACCCAGAGAGACACTGTCTCTGCCCCAGGGGCCCACAACCTGGCGGGGAACTGCTTATCTATACTAATAAAAGGGTAATATGCTAATTAGACTGTGAGATCTTCTGGACGTCCTTCTGGACAAAGCCATGGTGGCAGGGCTGAGGCAGAGGCGGTTAGGGGTGATCAGGCCAGCAGAGGGGGCAGTTGGGGGCAAGCAGGCTGGCAGTGGGGGGCAGTTGGGGGCGATCAGGCTGGTAGGAGAGGCAGTGGGGGCAAGCAGGCCAGCAGGAGGGGCAGTTGGGGATGATCAGGCCGGCAAGGGGGGGCAGTAGGGGGTGAGCAGGCTGGTGGAGAGAGCAGTTGGGGGCGAGCAGGCTGGCAGGCAGAGTGGTTAGGGGCAATCAAGCAGGCAGGCAGGTGAGCAGTTAGGAGCCAGCGGTCCCAGATTGCGAGGGGGTTGTCTGACTGCCGGTTTAGGCCTGATCTCACAGTCAGACATCCCCCGAGGGGTCCCAGATTAGAGAGGGTGCAGGTTGGGCTGAGGGACACCCCCCATGCATGAATTTCATGCACTGGGCCACTAGTAATCAGATAAACACCCAAGTGGATTTGATGTTACAAATGATGCAGTCAAGGTCACAGCTGGTTACAAGCACGGCAGAGAGGAGAACATGGTAAGGCTGGAGAGAGGGGCTGGCCTGGCCCGGCCCTGCAGGCAGGCCCTCGTGGACCCTATTTTAGATTTGGTTTTACATAAAGGGCAACAGCAAATCTTGAACGTTTTTTTTAAATATAGTTTTTAAATTGATTTCAGAGAGGAAGGGAGAGGGAGAGAGAGATAGAGACATCAATGATGAGAGAGATTCATTGATCGGCAGCCTCCTGCAGGCCCCACACTGGGGATCGAGCCAACAACCATGGCATATGCCCCAAACAGGGCTCAACCATGACCTCCTGGTTCATAGGTTGATGCTCAACCACTGAGCTACACCGGCTGGGCAATCTTGAAAGTTTTGAAGCGGCAGAGTGGAGGTGGGGGCATGACTGGATTTGCGTTTTTAAAAGTTCCTCTGGCTGCATGGGGGTGTGGGATGCAGTGGGACAGTATGGAAGCAGAAGCCCAATCAGGGCTCCAGGTGACTGATGATGCTCATGGCTGTGTATCTTGAAACAGAAGTAGGTACAATTAAGTTAGAGGTTAAAACCAACAGGGCTGATGGAGGTGGCAGGATTGGATATGGGGATTAAGTTGTCAAGGATGACAGTATCTGATTCAAACTGGCAGGTGGGTGGTGAGATGGAGAACACTGGAGAAGGCAAGCTCCCCTGACCCCTACCCTACCCACAGACACAGGCCTGCAGGGCGCAAGGAGCAGTGTTCTGGCTGGAGTTCAGGAACTGCCAGAGGAGCCAGAGGATATATGCTCTAGAGGTCAGGGAGAAGCTGAGGTGGAGATGTGTGTCTGGTGGTCATTGGCAGAAAGCAGAGTGCGGGAAGGGAAGGGAAAGGACCCTTCGCATAAAGGCTGACTCCAGAAGGTGGGATGGCCGAGGAGACCTAGATGCCTGCTGTGGTTTCATGGCATCTCAGTTGTTAGATGAGACTGGAAACAGCTGTGTGAATGGCCCAGAGCTGCATTTGGGTGGAATGACGAGAAGGGGTGGGAGTCAGGTAAGCCTAGGTGAGGAGAGAGCAGAGGGTAGGCGAATGGAGCTAGCACTTCCAGGAAGGTGGCTGAGATCAGGGAGCTGATGTATGGGCAATACCCGGGAGGAGCAAAAAGCTTAAGGGGAGCTGCCCAGAGCCCACTCCCTCTCTGTAGCCAGGAAGTTTTGCTAATAGAACACCAACAGACACAGGTGGGCACTGTCATATCCCCCCCCCACACACACACACATATACATCCTTGCTAATGCACAGTTCACACAACTCAGCCCCGTCATGCACAGACATCCAGGCATGTCCAGGATACTCTGACATGGCCAGCACCATGGAGATTTCCAGATACATTCAATCCTGCTATCATTGGAGGTGCAAAGTTGGATGTCCAGGAATCAGAATCAGGGGGAAAGACAGGGGCGTTCACAGAGCACAGAGATGCTGAGAAAGGGAAAGCAAATAGATGGGGTGTGTACAGGCTTTGAGAGCCAGGGACAGGAGCCCAGTTCAGGGTGATGGAGTGGCATGCTGGAGCTGATTCCCACCAGCTGGCAAAAGCAGATTCTCTACATCTCTTCCCAATTCCACATTCATTGACATCACATTGGTAGCTTGAAATCAGCCATGGTGGGAGCATTTACACCACAGAAACTGGCAAACACTGCAAATCAGGGTTTTCTCCCTTTTGTAGTGTTGACTGTAAAACATTTACCAGCACACAGTGGATCTAGGCCACAAAGGAGAAGCTGGCAGCCCTATTTGTACATCATTTCAATTCTTCAGCAAAAATTTACCGAGCATTTCTTTGTGCCAAGTTCTGAGCTAAGTGCCGGAGAAACACTTTGTTGAATGAATGGATGGATTTTCTGGACCAAGGCGATTATACCTGGAGGAGAAACAATCTAGAACCACCAGGAAAAAAAGAGTTAGGAGTCGTCACTCTAAGCTGGATTCCACATCTAAATTGAGTGCCTATAATTCGCCAGCTGCCTGAAGCTGGTCCAGTTACCTCTCATTTCTGAGTGTGTGATTCACTGAGTGCCTTACACTGGGGTCTCAGGGCTGGCAAGGACCTATTATGGCATCTGGGTGGAGTGTATCCTGGTTGCCTCTCTGTGCCCTGGTGCCTTTTCTGCAGAATGGGTTGCACAGGGGGCTTGGGAGGATCAAGTTCAGGTAAAAAAGGTGGTTGAGCCCTGGCCGGTTTGGATCAGTGGATAGAGCATCGGCCTGGGGACTGAAGGGTCCCGGGTTCGATTCCAGTCAAGGGCTGCTTGATCCCCAGTGGGGAACGTGCAGGAGGCTGCCATTTGATGTTTCTATCTGTCCCTTTCCCTTCCTCTCTGAAATCAATAAAAATATGTTTTTTAAAAAGTAGGTGGTTGACAAAAGGCAGGGAGTTGGACAGATGTGAGTAGTATTCTTTCCCTTCATGATGTGTATTCTGAATTTCTCTTCTTAGAAGATTTTGGTCTTATTGAGAGTTTATTCTAGTCATGCTTCATTCTTTAGGGAGGGAGGGAAGACCAAAATCAATTTGTGTTAAAGAAGGAGGATTCTGCCAGCTGGCATAGCTCAGTGGTTGAGCGTTGACCTATGAACCAGGAGGTCCCGGTTCGATTCCTGGTCAAGGCACATGCCTGGATTGTGGGCTTGATCCCCACTGTGGGGCTGATCAATGATTCTCTCTCGTCATTGATGTGTCTATCTCTCTCTCCCTCTCCCTTCCTCTATGAAATCAATAAAAAAATATATTTTTAAAAAAAGGAGGATCCTGCTGATTCCTTGAGAGTTGGAGGTGGAGGGAGTGGCAGCACCATCTGTCTTCAGGACATGCCCCCTCACCCCCACCATGCACACACACTCAGAACTATTTAAGGAGAATGATGAACATGGGGCTCAGGACCACCTCCGCTCCCAAAAGCTGTATGTCTGGGCAGAGTCCACGGCTGGAAATGGGGTGAGGAAGACGCTGTCCCAGGGGCCTGTTAATTTCAGATTACTGCTGCTTGGGTTTAAGAATCATTGGGTGGGGCAGTTTGATTTACACAGAAAGTAACTTCATTTCCTGACTACAAGCACAGGCTAAACTCTGGCCCCAACCTGACCCCTACCCTACCCACAGACACAGATCCTTAACCCTGCCCATGCACTGACCCATTCTTGCCCTCGGACTGATGACCCCTGGCCCTTGACCTCATATTGACCTCTAATCTTCAGTTTCACCATGACTTCTGGCACTGACTTCTATCCAATTGACATGATCAACCAGTCATTGGGGATCAGGACAGGGTGTGGCTGAGTAGGGACTTGAAACTGGAGACCCCCATCCTAGACAGTCCCCCCAAATCACAAGGCCTAGGACTTCTTGCCTGATGGAGAGAATTCTCCAAGGATCTATTCCTGGGGTGAGGGTGTTGAGGTCGAGGGCACGTGATGTTGCTGGATTTCAGGGCTCCACATGTACCTGTCCTCTGCCCGTGAGGACAAAGAGCCCACCCAGATTTTTACAGCTCCCCCCTCTCTCCCACCTATTCCCAGCTTCTCCCACCCGCTGCTCTCTCTCAGCATCTGCCAGCCCTTTAATGGCACAGGACTGGACTCAGCAGGCAAAGGGAGGCCACAGGCATGTCTCTCAGGCCAGAGAGTGGGCCCACCAGGCCCCAGAGGCAGATCAGAAACCCCAAAGGGCTGCTCCCGTCCAGTCTCTCCTGGAGGGACCGGTGGGAGGCTGCCTCCTTCTGCACTGGGGCAGGGGTGACAGAAATGGCCCCTCCCGTCTTTCCATGCATCCTGCCCCACCCAGTGGGTCCTCATCATGGGAGCAGCCAGTTCATAAACAACCTCTGTCCCACAGAGCCGGGCCCTGCAGCCCCTCCCATCCTCTGCCCACCAGTCCCCCATCACCTCCCTTACCTTCTGGGGCAACCGGCTGCCTTTGCTCTCACAGCGAGTCCATATTTTCGCGCCCACTCCATCCCAGGCTCTCTCCCCCACACAAGCCTGCTTCACAGACAGCTCCACCGGCCTGCAGGGAGCCCAGACCCACCCCACCTGGACCCGGAAGCTAGCCTCACAGAGGAAAACCAGAGTTCCCCCGCTCAGGAGGCCGGACCCCAGTCTGCAACTGTGGCACCCCGGCCACCCAGCCACTCCAGACCTTCTGGGACCACAGGGCCCGGGACCAGCGCCCCTCCCATCCTAGACGTCCCCCCAACACACACACACATGCACACACACACACCAGGTATCTACCTCAGGTCTAGGCACTCTGCCCTCCACAAATGGGCCCCTGGTGCAGCCCCCGAGCCTCACCACTCCCACCCCCAACCCCACCACCACTCCATAGCAAGGAGTCTGTCCGGGTGTTCAATAGAGAAGGATGTTTCCTCCAATCACGGCAGGACTGGCCCAGGTGGAGCAAAGGAGCAGAAGCACAGGAGGCAGGTGTGCTGGAGGGCAGGGGATGGGGCTGGAGGTCAGGGCTGGGAAGGGCAGCCTGAGAGGTCAGTCAAGGGCAGTCCACACCTGGGATCTTCTGCTTTAGCTAATGGGGAGCCATGGAAAGTATGGGAGTGGTGATGCAATGAGACCACATTTGCACCTTTTTTTAAAAAATATATTTTATTGATTTTTTACAGAGAGGAAGGGAGAGGGATAGAGAGTTAGAAACTCCATGAGAGAGAAACATCGACCAGCTGCCTCCTGCACACTCCCTACTGGGGATGTGCCCACAACCAAGG